TGTTCACGTATGAGTGTATACTTTGGTATCTGAGTGTCCAAGATACGAAGGGCTTCATGTTTGCTGACGATACAAATATTTTCTATTCGTTTAACTCCATCAATGGTATAGCAGGCCTTCAATCGGATTTAAACAGTTTGTTCTCGTGCGTATGGCAAATGGCTGAAGTTGGAGGCTGTACACTAAGTAAGTTATATTTTTCTTGATTTTTGTGGTTTAAAATTAACTGATAATTACAAGTCGAAAATTGTCGCTGGATTTAATAAATTGAAAGTTATCTTTGATCCAAAGATACCATCGAAAGGTTCATATACTGAATCAAACATCGATAAAGCCCAATCGCGGGGAAAAGTCATAAGTTATTGATCTACGCTTTGTAAAGAGATGGCCGAAGAAATTCCCTGACCCTTGTTTTACTAAACGTTTTCAAACTGCTGCAGTTCTACCACTAGAATTGTAGTACTCATCCATAGTCAGCAAGCTACAGATAACTTTGTTGATTTATCGTGGATACACTATCTTGTCGGATTAACCCCATGGTGCCCGATGACATACGGGTTAATTTTGCTTAACCGACGCCCTCCAGAGAGTTAGACAATCCCTATAACCTAAGGGCCTAAACTACACTGGAGAAACCAGATATGTTTATTGTGTGCGGCTCAATAAATCCACTCTGGGATTGAGACCTATCATTACAACCATCACGATACCGGACGAAGGTCCGCAAACAGCAGTCACGACTCACACGTTGCTTGGCTGAAAATACTAGCTTCTACTGCAGTTTCCACATGTTTCCCCACGAAGGGTCTTGGCAAGCACCAATATGCAGTACACCAATGCTGTCACCTCTGCCCGCAGGTACTCGTGATATAGTGAGTGAGCTCCTGATCCCCGTGGAGCTTAAAGTTAGACTATAAACCCTTTAGCCTTACTTTACGCGACATAGTCATTCTTGCTTTCGGATTAATTATAGAATCCCGGCTAACCAACGCTGGACTGCCCTTCTTCAAGATATGGTAGCATCGGGTGCTACAACTGACATGGCGGGCGGTACCATGCGCTCGGCTGTTACTACATCTACGCATTTTGCCTTACCAGTTACTAGCTGGTTGGTTAGTATTATCTTCTTAGCAATGGTCTATAAGAAAAAAGGTGCTTCTTCCAGTGTACATCTAAGCTGCCTTTCAGAAGACTTGTCGCCAAGTTATAGACAGTCCAAGCCTTACACTCTTCTTCGCCGGTCCAGACCACATCCAGGGATCACCACGAAGAGGTGAGAGTTTCGGCACATCCACGTTCCCCCAAAAGCATCGTTATCAAGCCCCCAGTTATAAAGCTACAGAAGTCGCATCGATATAACAAAATCGCTGACTTTGTTACTTTTTGCTCTGCGCGGTCTAGGGTTGAATTCGCGTTCAGAACTTGCTGCTGATTGATTTACTTACTGTAGAAAAAAGACACTGTACGTTGGGAGTAATCCTTATTTTAAAATTGATAATCACAAGCATAACATTTTCCTCACTCCTTCTTCAGAGAATCTTATTTAATGTACGCGGTAGACATACATTATGAAGCAATTCATTTATGGCAGTGTCGACAAAACCATCAATTTCATAACCGTTTCCGTGCGCTTCAAATAATGCATGATAGTAATTTTTATTTGCGCGATCCTTCAACCGATTCTATTAATGTCATTGGGAGTGCCGTCCTGCGGGTAAGCCAGTAAGATCCTGCTTGTATCTTTAAATTTAAGCAGAATTATATCTTTGTGTACTAACGCCGTATACATTTAAGTGCAGCCTGTATGGTTAAATGATATCCATTTACTTTTATTGCTGTGCATCCTTACTGTAATTATACTCACTATCATTGTCATTCCATTCATTTTGTTATAATGAATTACGTATTGTTTGTACTCTTGTCTTGTTGTACATTATTTAAATTTTTATTGTTATCTAATTACTTAAATCCTAAGTGTACTGGCTGCTATCTTCAACGTTATCCATTACTTTTCCTTATCATATTTGTACTCATAAGTTGCATGTTGTTTAGTTTTAAGAGATTATGTATCGGCTGATAAGTTCTATTTCTGACTGGATAAGTCAGTAAAGTCCAAGCCGAATTAATATGACTTCAACAGATTGAAGCGTGCGGTCCCGCTGTAGAAACAGTGAATCTTAAGTGAGAAGATAGAATGTTGGGACCCATTTGTGAAAGGGTTCGCAATAACTTCGTAATTCTTCTCTACACTTTCTCTCAAATGTAAATATCTCCTCTCTCTTATGGTGTAATGTGCATATACGCTAAACCAATAGGCATATCAAGACAGTTTACACACTGTTGGGATATGTATGTGTAGTACACATAAATGACTCCCGGGGTTTCCTTTTTCAGGACTGCTCAACTAACTAGGACTAAATAGGACTGGGATTTGTTAATATGCAGCTAGGGTAAGCGCCTACCAGTCTACTCGGCCTGTGCCTATGTCTCTTTAGTTAATCATCATCACCTTACCTTATAAAATTCACCATCGTTTACATGTGTTATGCATGAAACACTTTTACACACAATTCATTTACACTTTATTGCTCCATCGCAAGTACAATTCGATCTACTATCTGCAAAATGTTTTGATGAGCTTCGATCCGAGAGCTGGTCGGCTCGGATTAGCCAAAAGCCGAATAGGACGAAAATCGTATACCGACATAGCTCTAAGTGTCTAATCACCGCCATTACCAGCCAATTTCTCAATCTCATCTGAAGTGACTGCGTTCTCTTGTCCAATGAGATATAAGATACCTGCCGTACCGGTTAGAGTCGCATACCAAAAATTCTGAACCTAGTTTTATTGTACTTAGGGACATGTAGAATACATTTACCTCCTCCTCCTCCTCCTTTGCTCTTTAACGGCACAGAGAAATGAAATCATTGCTCTTTTGTTTTTTTGCAACACGAAAATGCTTACAGTTATAGCTTAATAGGGTTTAGTTCTGTTGCGTTAGCATTGGAATAATAGCACAGTTTAGTGCAGCTTTAATTATGACTGCTAAAGGCATGAATTTCAACATACGTGAAACTACAAACTCTATAAATTCCTGACTAAACACTAGCTGTGTGCATATTTCACTCTTTTTTTTTTTTTTTTTTGAAAACAAAGAAAAATAATATATGTAGGTTTTTCAAAAAAAAAATTCCTTTTTATTAAACCATTACTCACTTCGGGCTTATAACGCATTTGCACTCGTACCGTAAGCGGCTTAAATATAAAATATTTCATTAAATTTCACTCAACCGCATAAATACAAGTCAAAATCAATGTCATTACGTTTAGAGATTTTTTTCCTCTTTCTCTTTTCCCTGTTGTTGTTCTGCTATATTGACAAACGAATGTTGATTATTTGCCTGTCTACCATTTGTCTATGGTTATGCATTTTGTCTGAAATATTCGAGAATATAAATGGCTGTGCGCTGCCCTTTGTCATGTGGCTCACGCATCACTGCACAATTGACAATTGTATTACGGATATTTTTGGAAGTTTCGCTTCTATCATATATTCAAACTCGTGTACATACCGTACGATGGCTATTCGAATAAAAAGTATTCAATTTCAAACTTACGGGTACATATCATCAACTTGCATGTATTTTTATATGAATTGTTAAAAACAACGCAAAAAAAGAAGAAATCGAAGAGGAAACATGAGCAGTTTTCAATTTGTGCTTCAAAGCGTAAAAAATTATACTGTCTGCGTTTTACATTTAATTATTTAATCTTCACGTTTCATTTTGCTTTCTCCCTCGTAACTGATTTCATTTAATAGTCAGTCGTAGCATAACATAAGATTGAAATAATCTAGTGATGTTTCCTAATGTAATCCTCCCAAAAATACTGTACATGTTGTGAAAAAGCATATAAAAATGATCAAAGCTAAGCAATAGGTAGGCATTTTGCCCGACAACTATGGTGAACTATGTCAAGTAATAATAGTAGTAATAGTGTTATTACTATACAAGTACCAGTATTAGGCTATAAATACTCGTCGCGCTACTATATAAGCACTTGCATTACGCTGTAAGTACTCGCATGACATCGCTATAAACATGTATACTTAACCTTATTAGCACTTGCGTTACTTTGGCATCATTACTTACACTAACGAACAAATATTCGCATCACGATGTTAATAGTTGCACTACTACTTGGCCGTCGAGAAGGAGATCGTGATCACATAAAACTCGGCAGACGTTGCTAAGCAAATCTTTCTTTCTATTATCTTCTATTACGAAGCGTTGGGAGAATCGTTTGATTAGCGTAACATGCTGCTGTCATATAGACAGAAGAGAAATTAATTTAAGTATTTTTCATAAGAAATCTATCTTGACTCCGTGACAATAATGAGAATAAATGAAATAAAGAGAAATAATGTTCAAAACAAAATAAATCCTTTAAGCACTTTTTTCAATATTCTTGTTCTAGATTTAAGTAAAAGGAAAACTTGTCCGAGAATAATTTTTATCTTTCATTAAGTAATTGTCTTGTCAACCATAACAACTGTAGCAGATCTCTTCTTCTTTTCATTTTCTTTGTCGCTTTGCAACTTCAAAAAAAAATCTTGCAAAACTTTCGCAAGAATATGAAACTTTTATCAATTAATTTGTCTTGTGCACACACACACACACACACACACGTACGTATAAGGACTGAAAGTAAGTGATACCATCATCCTTCGACAGCTTTCATTAATGTTAATGACAGAGAAAGAGTAGAAGTTAATAAATATGAACGCGGGTCAATTGCACTCCATGTGCCGAAGAAGAAGAAAAAAGAAGAAGAAGAAGAAGAATTATTATTGATGGAAAAAATATGCTCAAGTTTCTTAAGTCATTGATAGCATCTGGTACTTATTAAAAGAAAAATTTATTTATTTATTTATTTATTTTTTTTTTTTTCGTGTATTTATATTCTTAGCATAATTAATAAATTATTTTCTCTTTTGCAGGTTCGCCGGAAATGGCTTTCATACACGCTTTGGCCGCAGCTACAGTTACTAGTTTTATAGCACGTGCTTGTCGTGACGGGCAATTAGCTTCGTGTGGTTGTTCAAGTGGTTCACGACCTAAGCAACTCAACGATGATTGGACTTGGGGTGGTTGCGGGGACAATTTGGAATATGCTTACAAGTGAGTACATGCCTTAAACCAGTCAGTATGACTTCAAATGCGATGCAAGTTCATTTAATCGCATTTTTTTTTTTTTTTTTTTGTTTGGTGTGTACTCCGTCTTGTCAACTACTGTTACCTAGAAACTTGTTATAAAAGTAAGTGCAATAAAGTGCAAACGAAATCCTGACTAACCAACGATCATTATAACGGCGGCAATGTTCTGAATTTTGATTAGGATTTATTAGAACCACCTCGGCACTTCAGTGTTCCGCTTGTATTTAACCAAAAAAAATTTTTTCTTACTTTAATTCGCTTTAAAGCAAATAAAATTTTTTATCTTGGTTCAGTTGATTGTTCGCAATTTTCTTAATCATACAAAGCAACAATTAAAAAAACAAGCAAGTAAAACAAAAAACTCACGTCATTACATATGTTTTCACTTTTAAGGCGAACGTGTGTAAATACTCATGCCCCCCCCCCCC